CTGCCTTTGTCCCAAAAGATTCAACTTGTGATTTACTTTTTTTATTCTTCTGCTTTGTCCTTTGCTGGCATGTTTGAGATATTGACCTCATGTCTGAAAAATAATTTTCTGCCTCTGTGGTGGAAAATAAGAACAACTACTTAAGGCCGTTTGTTAATGACTGGTTTTCTTCAATTCATTCACCCCATGAATTTCCACTTTTCCAAAGTCCTGACACCAAAATCAAAGGTGTTTCCACTTCCATTTGCAGCTTCATTCTGCCAGTCTCTTTGCCATTCACTGCTGTGCAAAAAGGGCTCTTTGGATATCTAGTAGTCCTTTTAAATTTTCTTGGAAAATTTTTGTCAGGTTCTAATATCTCAGAAATTACTGTACAAGATGATATTCAAATGCCGGTATCGTCTGAGTCATGCTGGCATGGTCTAAGACTAGTGCTTCTTTTTGTCTAGCCCTCCTTTTCAGCCTGTAGGGGCTTCTTTGGATCATTTCTGAAAGTCAGAAATGATATATTTCTGGTCAGAGAGACCAGGGTATTCTGAAACCTCACATGATATGCTGCCTAAATAGCTTCAGGCAGAATTTTTTCCTCTTTCCCTGGGTATTTGACTCAGGCTTCACAAACTCTACATCACTGCTAAGTTGCAGAAATGTATGAGGCTGGCCCTCAATTGTTCAAAAGGTAATGCTTTCATTTCTTCAAAACAACATAGTTTTCTTGAGGTATTTCCTTACTCATTAGGACTAATTATAGAAAACATCAGAAACATCCCCTTGGCGCAGCTCTGCTTTTCTGCCTTCTTATATGGAAGGAAATGAATAATAATCACTATGAAGTGGAGAATCAGGCATACAGAGCATTCTGAGCCTACAGAGTCACAGAGTTGGAGGAGTGAACAACTCTTAAACCAATTGAAATCAGATTACTCAGACATTGTTCCATTGCATAGCAAAGTAAGCATGGTTGTAAATCTTAAATATTTCTCCCTAAGAATAATGAAGATAGTCCTATCCTTTGTGAAAACTCTTCTAAACAAAGAAAAAACTCAGGCAGGAATAAATGGAAGATTGCTGCCTATGGCTAAATTAAGAAAGAAAGCAACAAGCATAGAGTTAATTTCCATGAGAATTTCCAAATTGCACTTTTTTTTTTTATGACTTTTAGTTTACTCTTCTACCACCCTGGTGAACACCAAGTCAATTTCAGGAAAGTTGTTACTGCTGTGTATAGAGAAAATACTCCAAAGGACTTTTCATGTTCTATAAAATGGACTCTGAGCTTTCTTCTGCTGCATTATTAGAATATACAGATGATCCCTTCGTAGATCTTACAGTCCGGATTATCATCCATCACCTTCCATATCTGCAATGATAAATGCCATAGAAGTCTGAAGTGCAGATTCTGGGTGAAGCTACAAAATATCCCGTCCACCAGGGCTTATTTGTATGATGAAACCTGTAAAATTATGTTGGCAAGACCAACCAAAGTTTGTCTCCAGTTTATGAAGAAGAATGGGTTCTCAAGGAAACAAAGCATTGTGTCAAATCAACGTGCATCTACAAATTCAGTAGTAATAGATCTGAGAATTTTAATAGAGCTGCAGTTTTGTCTCTTCATATTGAAGAATGTTGTAAGATAAATTACTGATGCCAGCCAGAAGAACTTGTTTCTTCATCCTGAGTTCAAACTTTGTGGCTTAGAACCATGTTCCTGACAAAGGAAGACCAAAGAACTGTATCTCTGCTCATGCTGTTTCTAATTCAGGCAAATGCACTCCAAAATCAGATTAGTTGTTATAGAAATTTGACATCTCTCTGTCCTGATTCCTTGTCACCTTTTCAGTCACCTTGGAAAATGTAAATTTCTCATCTTCAAGGCATCATTCCAATTCCACTTGCTAATAATTTTTATTCCTCATTCATGAAAAACAAAAAAGGAGCAGGAGACTTTATTCTAGAATTCAACTTGACAAATTTGAAGCCTATTTCTTGGAAAGCCAATTACTTTTTCGAAGGTCAATCAGGAAATTGCCAGAATCCTTTTTCTTTCTTGCAACCTTAAAGCACATTATTGGTACTTACATTCCTGAAATTTGAAGGCTACAACCTCTTCTGAGCCTTTTGGTCTTTCCTTCATTACATGAGATTTTAGAATTCCAGAGTCTAATTGCAATTAGCTACTTTGATTCATTCATACTTTGTCTTAGGTCACAATCTATTTACATAAAATAATGAGAAAATGCATATATGAAGACAACGGGACATGTTCTATAAGGAAGACATTTTAAATTGAATACCACAGTAGGTTCTTAGTTGAAACTCCTAGCATTCATTTTTAGTTTTGACAGAATACTTATTTTCTGTTCACTGTGAAGTTCAAAAATAATATCCAGATGATCCTGACTACAGAGATGTTATAAGGTGTTGTAACTTTCACCTCTATGTCTCCATAATGCTCAAGCAAGAAAACATTTACTTATTAAACTGACAGCACTTGTTCTTTTCATCTTTGACCAAGATGACTACAACTATTGGGAATCAGAAACCATAATCTTGGCTATACCTTAGTGAAAGAGGCTTTATGTGTTGTTTTCCTGGGCAATGAGAAATCCTTCTTATTGTTCAGCCTCTGGGTGAAAAGCCATGTCTTCCTTTTTCACAGTTCTATTAGGACTTGAGAAAAGATATCAAAGATTTTTCTGAAATCCTCCGGATCTGCCACCTTTCTTCTCTTTCTTGTCTTTCTTATCTATATTGGACTAATGGCATGATGGGTACTCATACAGGAGAAGGTTAAAATTAGATTTCCTAAAAATTAATTTTATATTCTCTGAAATGGTACCCACTACTCTGTCAGTACCTATTTTTTTAAGCCAAAATTTCTCCAAGCACAGAAAAGTCTTTTCTTCATGTGGAAATTCTAAATGGATGAAAAGAGAAAGGAAAATTATCAAAGGGATTCAAGTTGATGACTGATTCATTGTTTTTAAATAATTTTTCCTTCCTGGATATTGGTTCTGTTGTTTTCTAACTTGTTTTTTAGTTATCTTATATTCCCTCAGCTATGGCAGTATTCCTGGAGACAAATGTGAATGCACTTCCTCAAAATGCCAGCAGTGGAAGCTGGTAAGCAAGTGGGGAAAAATCACCAGAGAAATCTCTGAAGCTTGGGACAAAGGCAGAAAACACATCAGTACTGCACTAACAGAACAGCAGGTACTCTTATAGAGAAGATAAAATTACAGGTAAGGAAATAATTTACATTTCTATTTTGAACTTGTCCAAATGGCTTGTTACTCTCCATTCAAAATATCAGGAAAAACCCTACAGCATAAAATTTGAAAAAGAAAAAGATCTCAAATTTGAGTAACTTGGACAAACTGATTTTTTTAGTGGGGATAATTGGAAGTTCTGACCTCATTTCTAGAAAAATATATTAAAATATGAAAATTCTTTATCCCTATTAGACAGTTTAGAACTTCAGTCTAGTTTTAAAACAAGGCTGGATTTGAGTTTTTAAAATTTGTTTTGCTTTTTTGTATTTAGAATGTAAACACAGGAAAATTCTTGTTATAGGTTTTCCTTTCCAATAAAAAACAAGTGTAGCCTTTTCCATAGGTACATGAAGTCAGATAAAGCCAAAGACAGAAGGACTCTGTTCCCATCTCTCCATTAACACTTCCTGACAGGGTAGCACAACTCTTTCTTATGTTTCAGTTTCCTCATATGTTGAAAGGAAAGAGGTTATTTTTCTCTCCCAGTTGGGATGATTAGGCAGGATAAGTGGTGTAGAAGAGAAAAAAATTACTCTTTTGTAATTAATTGTCTTGCAGTCTTTTATGCCGCCATGCTGCAGTCCCACTATGGAGTTGTGAGCACCATAAAAACCTCAAGAGGATAATCCTTGTCTGAATTGCTGCAGTTATTATCTGTTACAGAAAGTAAAATAAGGTTTTTGTTTAAGTCTTCTTTTAATTTAAAATTGTTGTCTGTAAATGAAACATTGTGTTACATTAAAATGATTCTACCACAAACTCTCTTCTCCACCGAGTTACAGAAACATTGAGAAAATTAGGGTATGTTCAATACAGTGGCATAACCTTTTGGAAGACAGTAATAATGAGTATATAGGAAGGACTAATGAATTGGATTTAGCCTTGATGTAACTCATATATCTTCATCGACGATTCACTATCATAATTATCCCAGTGAGATGTACCAATTTATTTTATTTTGTAAACTATCCAGTTCAAGGAAGTATGAACACAGGACCATATTAATTGATTTCATAGTATTCAAATATGTAGAGATTTTATTTAAGCAAGAAATTTTTGAAATTTTGAGTTTAATCTTGTATATTTTCAATGATCTGCAGCATGATATTTAAGTTAAAAGGGTTAAGAAAATAAAAGAAGAAAACTTCAAGAAATTTTGGTGATCTGTTGAGATGCTGTGTATCACATCAGAAGCAATTATTATTGGCAGTTTCAAAATCTATCTCAAATATCTAGATAAAGAACTATCTGTCTGAATTGAATATTGTATTTTGAAATGTGTCCTCTGTTATTTTATAGTGTTTCCTGTAACCTTCTAATTTTTTTGTTTTGCTTTAAACATATATGAGGAGAACACACTCAAATCTTTCATTTTGAAGGAATTGTCTTCTGACTTCATGACTCCTTTCTGTACCACAGGTCTATGTATGAACTTATTCTCAAAGAACTTTTCAATTACTGTTTTGTCATACTTAAATTTTGCTGATTACTTTCAGAAGTGAGTGTAATCTATCACTTTCTGTTGCTTTTTGGTTTGAATTTGAGTATGTTTGGGTATTTTAAAGACCATGCACTTTTCCTAAGAGAATTTTCTCTGATTCTGAAATGTTTTAACCTGTCATTTTTTATTTATCCTTGTAAGTTAAAAAAATATTCCAACTATCCCCGTTTTGTTTTCTGTAACTAATTTCATAACAGTGTAGTACTTGACATGTGTTTGTTTCTTAGGCAAACGTGTAAAACTCCTCAAGTCCGAATGGAGAAGTAGAGAAAGGAGGTTTCTGCTGTGCCTGATGACAATTTTTGTTTTTTCCACACACAAAAAATATTCTGGCTCCACGATGGAGCACTAGTTGTGATGAATCCTAGTCTTGGTCGGATTCTAAGGAAGGGCCAGAACGTTCGTTGAGGAATAAAGAGTCAAACCACTCCAGAAAATGTGTTCCAGCCCCGGTTTATTACTCACAGAGCAGCAGGTGTGTACAAATACAGGTTTACACAGTATTAACAGGAATTGTTGTGCCTTACTCCTCATTGCAGTTGCTTAGTTTGCTGTGGACATTGAAGATTTGTGGCTCATTTGGGCAGAGTTTCTGGAGGGTGGTTGGAGAGATTCTGACTGTGCTACTAAGCAAGCAGCCTCAGAGCGTTACTTAGATGCTTCTGGGAGCCCTAAAATATCTTCACACTCTTGACTTTCAGAGATAGACCCAGTTGGTAAGCTTAGTTACTCCATGGGAAAACAGCAGATGCTCTAGAGAACAGCACTTGGAAGAGAAGTCCATCTTAATAGATCCAGTCTGGTGTGGCACCTGTAGTTGAAAGCTCAGTATTACATACTGAATTACTTAAATTTTCATAAAAAACCCCTAAGAATTGGGTATTTCCATTTCATTCCTAAGACAGGCTAGAAGCTGTTTACCTATCTTAAAACTGTGTTAAGGCTGAAGACCTTTATCATTTACAGGAACGTATGCCATGCTCTGAGGTATTTTTCCATTACCTACTTTACTAGTCCTACCTTTCAGACTATTTGAAGTAAGTGAAAAGATCACTTTACATGGGAAATGTTTCTAAAGACTTTTAAAAATTTTTAACACTGACCGTCTAGATCTTCACTTTACAACCAAAAATTTCCAGCTGAAATCCTTAAGAGCAGTGGGAAATAAAGGAGTACAGCTGTATTTCAAATGGCATTGCATGAAATGAGTTTTCAGAATGTTTGTCTCTATAATGGAAGTCCTAAGCACGGAACTATCAAAAGTGAGTTTTGATTAGTCACTATGCAATAAAAATATGAAAGAATTATAAGGTTTTAGAGTTTCATGGTTATCAAAGGGAGCCTTTTGAGTCATGTCCTGGGAAATACTCTTTTTAATTAATAAAATGAGTCACTCATAGCTCCTGAAGGACAAGCGTGAGGATCTAGAATTCAAAATCGCTTAACAGGCTTGGGAACATGTTTAGATTAATATTTTTCATACTGCAGTGCCTAAAATAAAACTAAGGGAAAAATTTGAAGCTCTTAGTCCTTAAATAAAAAGTTAGGTAGGATCAAAATTTTATAAACAGGAATGAAACATTTGATGACTTGAAAAAGTGTCTTCCAATACATAACCTTCTCTGAAGGTAAGTGAATCTGTGTAGTTATCATTAAATATCTGTTTTCCAGACTGCTCAAAAAGTAACTCAAATTTTGCCTTTTGTCATTAGCCCAGTCGAAGGGCTGTCTGTAATACTAAAATAAGGGCCTCTGTCCTCATTAATGGTTTTCTCTTGCAGTTCTCTTGAAATGTGCTTGAGTCACCTTCATTTCTCAGGCTTTTGAAATGGTTCCTCCTCCCTCCAGAAACTCAGTTATCTAGCAATAAAGACCCAAATCCACATCTACCTACTGTAAGGGGTCTCTTCATATATGAGCCCTATTCCAGAAAGGTCCTTAACATCTTTTTGTCCACTTTACCCAATTCATTGGAACATAAATGACATGATTATCCATCTGTGAGGAAATTGTGAACCTGTCCTTTGTTAACATCTGCAAAGTACTTAGGATTATCACTGGTACAAGATAGTAGTACTAGAACAGAAGCATTTTCCAAGCTTACAAGTTGAACTGTTTCAGTGAATGAACAGGCACGAGTGGCAATGCAAGCTGTCCTTTGCTTTCGCAAGCGATGTATGAATGATAGCGCATGGCAAACACACTGCATGGACTTTAAAGTTCCAGGAAATAGTGTGCTTCCATCTGTTCAAAAGATCCATTTCCAACCTCAACCTCGTTCTCAGAGGGCATGAGTAGAGAAAATGAACTGGCAGATGTTTGTTTCTGGTTATATGGGCCCTGTTTCTACACTATAGTATTGATATTAAGTTCTTGCTACCACAACAAAATTATTTATGTTTTAGAAAAGAACAAGACTGATGTAACCCTCCTGAGTTCATTCCTTTTTAGAAATGATTTGCTAAAGAATCACTTTGTTCATAATTTTATTAAATTTTTTGCGGTGTATTGCATACTGTTTAAGAAAGGATACCGCAATAATGACACAAAATGGACAGGAATATACTGCGTACAAACAAGTGCTGTTTTGGTATGGGATCTCTGTCTTTTCTCCAGCACTTGGAGGACAATTCATGTTAGGCATTTCTTCAAGCCATTACTTATGGCTTTTGTCATTCCCTGTATTTAGCATATCTCATGTTGGTTATTAAATAAATTTGTGAGACCCCTTTTAGTTTTGCTTGAAATCCCCATACCATTTTTGTTTCCCAGAGGCTTTTAATAGTTTAGAGAAAAATGGAAGGGGTGCCAAGTCAACTTTGTCTCATGAAATTACGCTTAGCTCAGGGTGAGCTATTAATTGCTTTCACAAAAAAAAAAAAATCCTTTCTGTGTCTTACGTATCTCAAGAAAAAGAAAGAAAAAGACAGCCTGAGTATGCTTAGATGACATGACCTATGATCACACACAATCTTATATAGTCAATGGAACAGTTCTAATTAAAAAGAAAAAATCCTCTCTTAACACTTTCTGTTTCTTTGGAGAAAACCCAGAACAGAGGGTCCATCCATTCCATGTGGAATCATCTGTCAAGGCAAGAAACATTGGCTTAAATATTTTACCTTTTCTTCATTTGCATTGATACATAGCCCTGTCTTCCCTCCAACTCTTCTCACACACTAAAGTCACTTTACTGTGCATGATGGAAAAGAGAGAGAATTAAATTGCAAGGGGAGATATAAAAAGGCAAGTTACTACCTTTCAAGTGCTTGACTTTGCAAACTTTAGAGTCAATTTTCAGTATGGATCCTGTGTATGGCTTATGATAAACACAGAAAAAAATTCAAAAAGCTGCCAGTCAAAAAATAGTAATGTACAAGTTGTGTTATGAAATTTTCCACCACACACTTAATTTCAATATACCATATATTGTTATCTGTTTTATTCTAACATTATTATATAATAATTAATTATGTGCCTAATTTTGAATGCAGAAGCTATTCTGTAGCTAGCTAATGATTTGTGATATATTTGTTTCTGTGAAGAAACAGAAGAATTTTACTATACCTAATTGGGGTTCTGTAACTTTGATGCTTAGCTGCTTGACTTTAGGGAGAAGTGCTTTATTATTCAGGGAATATTCTCTCAGCCATTCTTTACATCCTACAGTCTTGATGTTTCTTCCTTTCTCTTCTAAGGCAGAAGAAAGTCCTGAGTGAAAGTATCAGACTTAGTTTTTATTGAAAATCTATTCTAATGAAATAAACACTATTATCTGCTGTATTCATCCAGTGTGTGGATTTCACAAATGAGGATATTTTTCACCCATTGTGGTTGTCCAGAAAAATCTCTTGAGGCTGGTAGCTTTTCTAATGTGATGTCATGAGATCTTTTAATCTCTGATCCATTCTGCATTATCCTGGCAAAAAGATTTTACCCAAAGACTCAGTTTGTTCTCAACATTTAGTAAGCAGAATAATGTGGAAATCTTCAGGTAAATTTAATTATATGTTGTGTTAAAATAAAACAAGTGAGTCCACATACAATTACAGCCAATTTACAGCAGCCACTCACTAATTTAAATTAAAAAGTCTGCAACTGCAGAGTAATTATGCTTTAATTGCATATTTAGGACAAGAAAATGAAGAGAATCTAATGTGGTGTATTTATGATATAACAACAATGTGAGAAAATTTATTATTATAAAGGGAGTAATTGCATTCCAAGAATGAACAAATTAATTCAAATCAACACATAGGATGCTAAAGGTTTCATGTACTTTTAAAATTTGTATTGTTAATTTTCCATACATATTAATTATTAACTGAAAACTTGATTTGCACACTTCAGGGTGTTACTGTTCTCTAAGGATTTTAAAGATCAGACATGTATTGTTATTGGTCCCTCTTTTCCTATGAAGGTCTTTGGCACAATATCTTAATACCTTACTTCCCAGAAACTTGAATCAAATAGCATTTACTATATACAAAATTAAGCATTTCTGGGATTTCCATCACTAGGTATTAGGTAAAATTTCATTGCTTCTGTATGAAACTGCCTTTAATATCCAAGAGGTTTATTCACTCCCTGACGTGTATGGTGTATGGATATATAACTTCCATTCATGTTGATGTGCAATCTATGCTTGAGCACAAGAAGTATTAACATCATACATAGAGGCAAATGTGGACCACTAATATATTTATATTTGTATGTGTGTGGGTGTGTGTGTGTGGGTGTGTGTGTGTGTGTGTGTATGTAGGTGAGTGACCTGATATAGAGCAGAAATCTGAATGGCTATCTGCTCTTTTTCTTTCTTATTTTTATCACCTATCTAATTTATGTGACATTGTATGTTACTCTCATGGGGATATTTTCACCACAGGGTTGTAGTGCTAGGTGGGGGGGGGTAGATAGGCCTGCAGATTATGATTTGGCTGACTTTTCTGTGATTAAAAGCACATTTGCACTCCAAAACAGCCATGTAACTGAGCAGTCATGTGTGTGCAAAAATACCATTTTTGTTATCTGAAGTTTATCACCTTAGCCCATGCATAGATCTGTGTGTAATAGAAATAATACATCACAGGATAGTTGAGATTGGAATGCAACTCTGAAAGTGCCACCCCCTGGCTCAAGTAGAGACATCTAAAGCCTGTAAGGGCAAGACAGCTTTTGAATATCTTCAGTAATGGAGCCCACAATCTCCCTGGGCAAAATGTGCTAGTACTCAGCCACCCTCACAGTAAAAAAATTTTTTCTGAGAGGAAATTGTGTTGGCTTGTTCTCAGTTTCTTGTCCTGTTGCTGGGCACCACTTTCTGGCTCCATTTTCTTGCCCCCCTTTCTTCACACATTTGTACACATTGATGTGTTTCCCCCTGAGCCTTCTCTTTTTCAAGTTGAAGAATTCCAGTGCTCTCAGCCTTTCCTCATATGAGATGCTCCTGTGTCTTATTTGCCTTAGTGGCTATTTACTGGATACACAGATAGGTAGAGATAGATATAGATATAGAGACATGTATCACAAATGAAGCCAGTAAAATTCCACCTGCAGATAGTATCAGAAGATGTGTATTTTACATTGTGTAGCTCAGTGGCACCTGGTTCTATGAGCAGAATTCCAGCTTGCTACAATAAAGCAAAAAAATAAATACAATAAGATGGTGCATCAACCTTTTGAGCTTTGGTGCAGGGCACAGAAATATGTTGCCTGACTGTTAAATTAATTCTTTATTATTTTTTCAGGCAATCTTCCATTTCAGAAGGGATCACATGAGGCTGTTTCCAACAGCAAGACCAAAGCAAAATAAAAGCAGTGTAATAAATAAGCCAGTGTATCATAAAAATCACAAAGCACAATTTTATTATTGCCTCAAGTGCAGTTCCTAGAAACAACTCTGTGGAGAAGGCAAACTGAAGTAATGAACTCCTTGAACAGTCTGTTTAATATTCTGTTTGTTGTACGGTTATGCTCTGCAGAGCTGACAAGAGCTGTATGCAAACAGTTTTGCTGAGGGCAAAAGAATGTTTCATCATTAAGGAGCATGACCCTTCTCTCTGTGATCAAAATGAAAAGCATATGTCCCTTGATGTCATAAAGTGTTGTGACCATTCCAATGAGTTGTTCCTCAAGCTTTGGAATGTTTCCCCCTGACACAGTTTTATATTAAAAGATTACGTGATTAATCGTATCCACTGACACAGCAGAAATATTCCTCAAAGTTATGTTTCTTTGATATGACAAATTTTTTCTTTTAAAGTTTAAAATCCAAATCAGTTAGAGGGAAAGTCCAATTATTGTGAAATGCTTTGTCCCCCACTCTTTCTTTGTGGTCCTTCTGTTTCCTTCTTGTTTCATGTTCGGCTGGGTGAAACCACTCTAAATTAAATCCTCTGTAATTTTTTACTTTGTGAATAACAGGATCTCTATCTCTACTTAATTTCTGCATGATTTTTTCCTGTTTCTCCACTAGGTGATTATATACATTAAGCCTTTAAAAGGACATTGCCTTTTCCAACCTAAATGATTTTATGATGTTATGATTGCTTTGTAAAAATGCATGCAAAGAATGGAAGAATACAGCTCTAGTATCAGTCACTGTATACTCAATAGCAAACATTTAAAAAGCATAGTTACATACAGAATTTTTAACAACAACAAAAAAAGAATCACAGAAAACATAAATGCCAACATGTGGGTTGGCAATTCATGGTTTTATTATATTTTAAAGCATGGTCACAGTTCAATTTTTCCTTGTTGAATCCTATTTTCACTAAACACTGAAAAACACAATTTAGTTGGGGAGCAATGCCATTTAATATCATTGGGTTTTATTCCCTTATTTAAAAACAATAGAAAGAGGTTTGCTGGACAGAGATCTTGCACTACAGTCTAATTTCCCAGTACTTCAGAAACAGATTCACTATGCCCAATTTCTGATTTTCTCATTTTCTTTTTCTTTACAGGTAACCCGATAGCTAAAGACAACTCAAGCCAGTCTCAAGGCTGATAACATTAAATACAACACATAGGAATTTCATTCATCGAGGCAATCCTTGAAGTGAAATTTTATACTGCTGGGGTGTATCCTTCAGAATCAATTGTTTCAATGAGAACCTGGCTTGCAATCAGCAACAGCCTTGAGATCAAAACTACTGGAAAGTTATTTTGAACTTCTGTGTCACAAATATTTCAACTGATTGAACTGTGTACACTTGTAGAATTACACTTGCTGAGGAATTTGCAGCTGTAATCATGAACTAATATTCTGAAGGTGCAGAAAAGCAGCAAACTTTTGGGTTCTCCATTGCAGAACAGTGGCTTTTCATCTTGAAGACAAACTCTGAAATGTATTGAATCCTTCACTCTGAAATGATCCTTGGTCCACTGTTCAGATTGCTGGTGGGACTGCACACTGCTTTAATTAAATTGTCCTCAAGCATGGCGCAGTTTTAGACATTTTTATTTGTGTTCTAATCTTGCAGCTCTCAAAGGTACATATTTCAACATCTTGAAGTTGCTTTGTTATAGGAATGGAATTATATATCCATTGTTAATAATTATTGTTGACAAGTAATATTTATCTGAATACATCAGTCATATTAGAATGTATAGTCAGGTTGACATGTTTCCCTAAGGCTAACCAACTACTGCAGCTTAACAGTTAAAGAAAGTAGTGGTCAAAACTCAATTACCACTTCCATCATAAGGCATTTTATATCTTTAATATATGCATTTCGATTTAGTTTGAAGGAAATGGGTGTTCCCAATATGTACTTTACTTTCCTAACCTTTAATTCATTTAAATTGATGGTAAGAAGTCAATTACACTATTTCATCCCTTTTTTACAAAGACAGGCAGGGATGTAAATGAGTTTTGCAGTTATGATATTGGATGGTAATCATTCAGAATTTTTGTCTTTTTATTAAAAAATAAAATCTCTTGCTTGAACCTAAATACTGATGGATGCTTATGTAGATATCTGCTCAGGCTGTTTGCCATAAAGGAAAAAAGTCCTAGTGCTCTCCCAGTTTTACACTTCATGGGTATTTTGCTTGCATACAGTCATCCAATTCAGATCTCTTTTGTTAGAAATTATTGAACTTTGAAATGTGTTGTTACATAAAAAAAAAAAATCCTCAATATTTGAAGGCCTTAAGCATCTTTGAGCTTTTTTCTAAGTTATTACAGAATGTATAATTTTATACTCCATTTAATGTATATTGGACCATCTGTAATGTTGATACAAAAGAAATTTGGCAATTCCTTTTAGTGACACTGCATAACACACTGACTAGAGGGAGTTCTGACTGTATGCTTTGGTGACTTGAAATGAAAGCCACAACCTAATGGTAGTCAAAAATACATAGAAGTAAGCTTGTTTATATCTGTGGTTATCAAACACAGCAAAGAACCCCCAAAAAATAGAAAAAAACCCAAATAAAAAGAAAATAAAAGGAAAAAAAAGGAATAGAAGGAAATGGTTTAATCATTACAAGGCATTGACATGGCTAGTTTAGTTATATATTAAGTTCTGTGATGGATGAACACCCTGGTGAGCTCTGCCTGTCGCTGTAGCCCCTGCTGTTCCAAAACCATTTCATTACCTCTGCTGTATTATTGCACAGGAGAGCTTAAATACAATAAATGACTGTTGGGAATAAAACTGAGAAGTATATTCTATCATTTTGCTGGGAAATAATAAGAAATATGTTGACAGAAAAAGATCTTATTTTCTGATTAAAATTTAATTAGAATAAACCGATTGTAGCAGAAACTAAGTCTCTTGGTATTTTAGGATGGATTAGTATTATATGGATTTGTGCTAAGAGGTTCAGGATGGAAGGAACATCTTAAAGAGGTTGTCTGGGACAGTGCAAAGTGTAAATGTGCTGTTTTGTAAAATCTAAATATGACCTCTATTTGGTCGAAAATCTACATCATGCTACTCAATACTTGTTTTCTTTGTTTCCTTGTTCTTAAACAGCGCTGAAAATACTGTATTATATACAAGTGTAACACATGCATACCAATAAATGAAAATAAATGGATTTTCAAATATACTGAATAGATTCTCTGCAGTAGATTAATGTTGTGACTATTCATAGCAAGTGAATAAAATTGTAATATAAAATAGAGTTCCCTGTATGGATGTGTGCATTGGAGATCTGTTTACTCATGGAACAAAATAATTTTTTGGTGAATAAGAATCTCAAAGGTTTTATTAACTTTATATTTCCTACCACTTTGAAATGTCTTTTTTTTGAAAGGAACTGATACCTATGGGAAATTCTGGTGGGTGTACTGTTGTTTTCAGTTCAGATTGAATAAATTTTTTTTTCTTCACAAAATATGAATCCTGAAAAATTATCATTTAGATGATTTAAGTAGCACCAAGACATGGTAGACAATCCTGAAAAAGTAATATTTCAGGTTAATTTGTGGAACTGTTTAAAAGAAAAGAAAAAAGAAAGCCAGTTACTCGGATCTGCTTGTGCACCTTGTAGCAAGCTAGGAGCCACAGTTCAGGTGTCCATAGTGCAGGTTTAATGCTCCTTTAAAAATGGAATACAGGTGACAGGCTCAGCTATGTGCATTCATGTAAGACTATTAATTGCTTCAATTAATAATTTATTCATTTATATAATGTTTTCTAGATTGTTTCATCTGATTGCAAAAATGATCAGGCATTAGGATCAGATCCATGTTACTCTTTGAATTAAGTAATCATCAAGAATGCTGAACTGCAGAATATGAAGTTCTGCAGTTCCAAGGGGCAGTGCATTGAGAGAGGAAGAAAAATCACTGCTTTGTGATACCTCTCACAGTTAGATGTATTGGATCAGTTCAGCAAAGCACAAAAGGAAGTCCTGATATGAATCTTAATGAAAAAAAAATCATATCGGATCAAATCTAAAATAAGGCTTAAAAAACATTCAAGTCTAGATCTTGGTTGTATGTGGTTTATTGGTCATAAAAAATGTTAACCTTTTGAAACAGCACTGCTGCAGATAACACTGTTACTACCTATAAATACACCTATTGTGCTATATATTTTCAATTCCTGTATTTATCCTGTATCTTTTAGATCTTGGCTCCTTCAGCTCTGCCTAAAAATGTTACTGGTGTAGCATTTCAGTACTTCACCAAACAAATGCAGTTCTGTTTTGTTAAGAGTCTATATGCTTTAGGAGTGCATCAAATGCATTTATTTTGAAAGTAAATAATCTGATATAAAGTATTTAAATTTGTTAGTTTTCATAAAAATATATGCAGGGATCTTTTTTGCTCATTATAATTGTACAGCTGGCTTTTATAATTTCTAGATAATGCATGAAAGTTAGTAACAACAAAAGAGAAATATGTGATTGGCATCCTTTTCTGTTGATTTACTGCCTCCTCCTTCATGCCTCAGATTTTACACATCTGTTGTTAACCAATCTATTGGCAAAGAAAAGGAGCACAGTTTTGATTTACAAGAGAACTGTTGCCCTAATTTCTAGGGGTTTTTTGCCAAAAGTTATATAACTCTGAATCAAACCTGTCACACCTGAATAATGTGATGCCATTAAATGATTTCTCATGAATTCAGTGGTCTTAAATTGAAAAATAAGAATTTCCTAATCACTTTGTCTTTATAACAAAGTTTGTATCCTGAAAAACGTTTTTGTTTATTCTTTCACAGAACGAGTGAATGTTTCCAGATTACATCTTTGGTCTTGTTTCTGTAAGAGCTTATTTAACTTTTGGACACTACTTCACAGACAGTCATTGCAAATATTTTAGCAAAAATATGGCTGGGTTTTTTGTACATTCTGTATTCATCTGTACTACAGAAGAGGTAGTACATGAAAAGGTTGAATTTCCCACAACTTTCCTTAACAGTTGAGATTACAAGTATTGTCAATGTCTCATTATCCAAAACTAATTTAAGACCATCTGGCAGGAGGGCCACTGATGGTGACACTGGAAACTCTTGTGTAAGGGAGTGACAGTTCTTTATCAGACTGCTGTGAATAGGATGCTGGGAGAGTCAAACAATTGAAGCATGGTTTCACCACCAGAGATATAGGGTCTGGGGAAGCGGATCCAGCATGTGAGCACAGGGATACAGTCAGCATCCTGAACCTGTGGCTGTGGGGGTGACAGTAGAACCTCAGACCTGTTCTCTGGGTTGTAGGAAAGATCTGACTCCTGTCTCTGGGATTTCTCCTGACTCCACAGTCAGATGACAGAAATGACTGGGCACCTGGGTAATTTCAGTGTGGTTTGTATAAGGCTGTCAGATGCAGATGATTGTTTAGCATTTTGTTTAGAAAATTCTGATCGAGCAAATTCATTAAAGTTCACATATTCATTAAAGTTCATATCTCTGTCTCCATTCAGGTCAATTGTACTCTCTATTTTCACTCTTTCCTTGCAAGTATACAGGTAGCAACTGGAAGTGAAATCCAGTTATTCCTCAGTAACAGATTCTCTTGATTAAATGTCCCTAATCACATCAATATTAGCTGTGACTGAAAGACTTGAAATATATCTGGATTTCAGTTCTGAAAACCAGTTTACTGCCCAACTAAATGAAATAAATAGTTTGTGTAATAGAAATACTATTGCATATATATAACCCTAACAGTAGAACTTCTATATCAGCTCTTCAAATTATATTTATGTTCATAACTGTGAAATGTAAAGTTTGGTTTAGATCCTTTATAACATCAGGGAAATTCTTTTTTTCTGCTAAAACACTGGGGTAACCTAAGGACACTGCAGTTTGGGATTTATGCCTTTCACTGCTTCAACTGCGCAGCTGGGAAAACAACACGTAGAAATACTTTTGTTACTCACATTGTCGAGACATTTTTCTTCAGTGTGAGGAATATGTAAAGTTGCAAGTTTACTCCAGATAAGCATAGTGGTTGAATCTCTTTAACCCTTTTCTTCTTACTGCCATAACAAACATCACAGAAACTGTGCTAGAAAACTGTACTGCAGCCTTATGTCTTAGTATTTAAATCAGAACTTGCAAAATGCACACTACTTTAGTCAATATTTCTCCATATAAAGTAGTTTTTTTTAATAGTCTCTTTCCTCCTTATGATTAATTATTGATGCCTTGTCATATTTGGGCACAGAGAATACAATCCCTACTATTACTGATTTAGGGTTTGTGCATCTTTGTGTTACTTTTATTTTTTGTTGGTCATTTTCTCATGTCCTGCAATCCAGTCAGTTCTTTCAAAACTCTGGTAATGATGAGAAAAGTTTTTTTAATAAATAGTGGCCTGGAACTGAAGACAGGAGAGAAGAGAGAGAGATGATGTGTTTCTATAATTTTATCTTAGCTTCCAGTTTGAACTATTCTTTCTAAAGAGAAGCAGTTTTTTCTAACTATAAATGGATTGTGTTTCAATACGCTCCCTGATC